CGTTTCACCCGATCGCTCGACCCGGGAGGCCTGCTCATGTCGCGGGTGGGGTCGGGGAACCCGCCCTGCGGACCCACGCGAAGCTGCCTCGTGTCGCGGCTGGGCGCGTGGCCCATGGCTCAGCGACCTCCGAGTGGCCGATTCTTGTCGCAGTAGCCGGCGGGAGCATGATTCCTCCGCCGGTGGCCCGTTTGCTGGCCTCGGACCCAGCCTGTCCCGGGCCGGCACGTGATCGCCCAACCTCTCCAGGGCGGGCCTGGTTTGGGTTGGTGCCCTTCCATCGCCGTCGCGCTGGCGGCCTCGGCGGGAGTCCCCTCCTCCCCGCCTCTCCGATGGTCGAGGCGAGTTGACCTCCCCCTGGGTGATAGGTGCCTAGGGTGGCCGGGTGCTTGGACCGCTGCGCCCCGGGGTGAGAGGAGGTGGAGGTGACGCCGGCGCCCCTCGGGTGGCGCCTAGGTCGGCTTGTTCCTCTGCCCGAAGGCCCGCTGCGACGCGCGCCAACGCCGTGGAGGCTTGTTCAAAGACCGCCACCCCCTCCTGGATGAGTGCGCGAGCCGGAGCGGGGGCGACAGGAGGTGGTGACGGTGCCCCACTGCCACGGTGGTTGGTGAGCTGGGTCCTCAGATCCTCCCCCGACCTGGTGGAGGCGGCCGGTTGGATGCTGGGGGCGGGGGCCCTGTTGGGACCGTTCCCGTTCGCGACGAGTTGGGTGCCGCGGGAACTGTTGGCTAGCCTCGGACCCAGCCTGTCCCGGGCCGACACGTGATCGCCCAACCTCTCCAGGGCGAGCCTGGTTTGGGTTGGTGCCCTTCCGTCGTCGTCGCGCTGGCGGCCTCGGTGGGAGTCCCCTCCTCCCCGCCTCTCCGATGGTCGAGGTGAGTTGACCTCCCCCTGGGTGATAGGTACCTGGGGTGGCCGGGTGCCTGGACCGCTGCGCCCCCGGGTGGGAGGAGGTGGAGGTGACGCCGGCGCCCCTCGGGTGGCGCCTAGGTCGGCTTGTTCCTCTGCCCGAAGGCCCGCCGCGACGCGCGCCAGCGCCGTGGAGGCTTGTTCGAAGATCGCCACCCCCTCCTGGATGAGCGCGCGAGCCGGAGCGGGGGCGACTGGGGGTGGTGGCGATGCACCACTGCTACGGTGGTTGGTGAGCTGGGCCCTCAGATCCTCCCCCGACCTGGCGGAGGCGGCTGGTTGGATGCTGGGGGCGGGGGCCCCGTTGGGGCTGTTCCCGTTCGCGACGAGCTGGGTGCCGCGGGAACCATTGGTATGACGAGAGCCGGATCTCGATCGTGCCATCGCTGTCGATGAACAATAGTGGGGAGAGCGCTCAAGCTTGTACCGCAGCTCGCAACAAGAGCACCAATGATGGAATTAATTAACCCGGGGGTCCGACTTAACTAACCCGAATGAGAATATAAATAATAAATAAATGATACGAACGATATATCGAAGGCCGTGAGACCGTAAATTGTATTAAATGCCGTGGAATTGGCTATTACAATGATTCTCCAGTACAAAGTGTGTCTGTAAAGTAGATCGTAGATAGCGTGTCCCTTGTTAGGACAAGGAGGGGGGCTTTTATACAAGCCAAGCCCCCAACCGCCTCCCCCTAAAACGGGGGGTTAGTTGGATCTGGAGTTGACCGCGCCCGGTCTCGCGACCGGGCCGCGCTGCGGGGGCCAGGCCGAGCTCATCATGGGCCTAGGCCGGGCCCATGTGGTGGTCGGCCCGGCCTCCTGGAGAGGCAGGCCCGGCCTCCAACGTGGCCCGTGCGGGGGCCACGTGGCGAGGCCCCGGGCGGGGCGGGTACGTGGCGCCGCCCCGGGACCCGTTCTTGCTTCGCGCCCTCGGGTCGATTTCCAATATATCCGTCATACATCACCAATAATTGTAGTTTTTGAACAATTTTTGTAAGTGTGACTAGAAAAGAGAAGATGATAGAAAAAGGAAAAAAAATAAAAGAAATAAAAAAAAAATCTGAAAAACAATATATATATATATATATATATATATATATATATATATATATATATATATATATATATATATATATGCGCCGTCTAGGTGCGCTTGGTGCGCATGAGATAGCTTTCCTTTTTGCGGTGGACCTCACTGGATCTGACAAAAACCAATGCTTCTTGCAACACACCATTTTATTCTCTCTACTCATGCTCTCTCCTCCATCTAAACTTTACTTTCTCAAAAATCACACCAAAAATCACAATTGAGGATGTCCTAGGCCAGCTATTTGGCATACTTGGGTAATTGGGAGAACCAAAATTCAAAAAAATTGATCAAAGGTTTTGAAGATTTTTTGTGTGCATATACAATGGTGTAAATTGAGATCTGATTGAATAATTCGCGATCTCTAGTGTCTTTGGGTAAGGGTTTTAGGCGCTTAGAATTAGTTTAGTGTAAGTTGAGAAATTTAATGTATAAAAAGATTTAAAAAAAAAAAAAGAAAAAGAAAAAAGAAAAGTGGCAGCTTTGTTGGGGAACCTAAACGTGGTTATACAGTTAAGCTCTGCATAAACAGACACAACAAAGTGTTAACCAAATTAAAGCTGTTGTGCCTTGCAGTTTTTGTTTGGACAAGGCACACTCTTCTATACAAATTATGTCATTTTCTCCTAAATATTTTAAGTTATTATATGTTTTTTAATTTTTATAATTAGCAATGAAGGTATAATTTTAGTTTTTTTTTTTTTTTTTATATATAGAAATTAATATAACTGTGACTTATTCTAATATCAATTATCATATCAAGAATTTATTATTACGTCAAAAGTTATAACAATGAGCGAAGACATAAATTTTTTCTTTTAGCACTTTAATTTCGATGATAATATACTGAACTTTATCATTTCAGCTTCCACCAAGTCAGATAAAATTATATCATTTGAAACAAAATTTGGAGCATAACATTACATCAGACAGCCGGACCCCTCAAATATATTCCCTAGTAGTTTGTGAAGTGCCCAACAAAGTAACAATATAGCTGTAATTCCATTTACAACATGTAACATGGGATAATTATTGGGAAAAACTTTTTTTTTTTTTGAAATGTAAAAAAAAATAAATTAAAGAAAAGAAACACTCTGTAAAAGTGAAGCTCTTTGCTTGCCACACTGTACTGTCAATGTTCCTCTGTCTCAACAAACTCCTTGGCGAACCCGACCCGACCATAAACACTAAGTATGCTTAATTATGAGAATAATCTTGAATTAGGGAGATCTGATTTAGTAAAATTTAACATATTTTATGGATGTGACATCTGTAATTAAGTGTGCGTGACTATACATATGATGTTTGTCTTAACTTTTGTTAACTTGATCTGAGTGTTAAATTGTTGGATTGGTTCACAGTACAACTACCTAAGTGAAATACTATAAATGGAAAATTATTTTTTTAAAAAAATTAAATAAAAGGCAAAATAATTTCAAATTTGAGAATTCTAGCCATTTTCTCCTAAGAAAATAGAACTGCAACTGTGAAAAAGAGCGAGACCGTCAATTGTTCATTATTTTATGTTGTTATAATGAAATTTAAGTGAAAAGAGTTTAATTCCATATTAATAAATGTTAGAATTTGAGTATGAATAAACAAATATGCATTGAGAATGTTCTCTCTCATATGGTGTCCAATAATTACTTGATCTCAAATTATTTGGAGTTCATTGCATCCATAGGACAATAGAATGTTTAAGAGTGCAAATTATATCGTGAATTAGGGTTCATCATACATATTGTAAATCTCGGTTCATATTATGTACATACAGTTAATATATTATGTACTTTCAGTTAACAAATTATGTATATTTAATTATTATATATGTACATTTAATTAAGAGGTTATGCACATATATAATTTGTTTGTTGAAGATATATAATATATTAATTGTATGTATATAATCTGAATTAAGGTTCACAATGTTTATAGTGAATCCTGATTAAGGATATAACGATTGGATGAAGGGTCATTGTACCACAAAATATTTTTTAGACAAATTATTTTGTGCATGCAAATATTTTATTTGCAAGTTTTTTTTTTTTTTTTTTTTTTTTTTTTTTTTTTGTGTAAAATTATGGGTAAAAACGTAAATAATGATACAAATTTAATTAAATTGTAAAAGTTTCCATCGTCCTGAATTGTAGGTACCGCCTGTGGGTGGAACAGCTAGCTTAGCTTGGAAATTTAAGGCTGCTCCATTCCCAAAGCTAAGGATTAAACTCTTGACCTTTAGTTAAAGATGGATGAGTCACTTCCACTCAACGACACCCTCCAGGTTACGTAAAAGTTAAATCTAAAATTTCTTTTTAAAAGCTCCAAGGTTATATATGTCCTCAAATTACAATATATAGTAGGGTGAATTTTCCTATGTGACCAATGCCATCTAATGGATCATTGTCCATGAGACGGATCGGGTCAAGATAAAAATGTAATAGTTATTCTGAAAAATGTAATACTAATAAGAAATAAATTGTTTGTTACTTATCAAAGAAAGTGTAATTCAAAATGTAATATTTAGGGGTTGAACATTTACTTATGAGAAAAAATGTAATATTAAGCATAAATTAATTGATTGTTACTTATGAGGCAAATTGTAATACTTATAATTAAAAATGTGATTTTTTTATGCAAATATAATACTTTTAAATCAGAATATAATATATATTAAAGGTTGAAAAGTTACTTGTGAGCAAAATTGTAATACCTATGAAGAAAAGTGTAATAATTATTATAAAAACAAAAAAAAAAAAAAATCAACTCGTCTCACATCCTCTCATAGAAGATTTTACCATATTGTATTTAATTCTGAAAAATAATATTAAAAAATACCTAATTGTTCTACTATTGGTTTTATAACGTAACGACTAGGTAAACAAAAAAGGCAAACGTAAGCATGCTTTCTCTCAAGTAATTATTAAACAATTTGTATGTAACACCATTTATGGAACACCAATGATAACTTGATTACTCATATATCAAATTCCCATAAAAAGGAAGACCAAAAATGAGAGAATAAAATCAAAGGAATGAAAGTACTAACAACATATATGGGCAAAATGATCAAAGTGCCTTTCACATGTCTAATTACTAATTAGGCGTGATTAAAGAAAAAAAAAATCTCTTTTTATTTTTTCTTTTTGCTTTAGAACACAAGGTGCTGTTTAGTCATTAATTACTGTTAATCCTCCTCATCATTAATATAATTACCAATTGACAACATCTGACATGCCAACGTACGTTGGATCGAACCAACCCTTATTGGCTGTTTGTTGGGGGTGTCCGTACGTAATATTATGTTTGGGCATACCATGTGGCAGGCAATTCCTGTTAGTTTTGTATAAATTAAGGTAAACATTTTGGAACTAAACGCGTACAAAATCCAGTTTATTCCATTGTTAATCATGTAAATTAAGTTAGAGTGGAGAGGTTTGGCATTGAGATTCATCAACTTATATTATGAAGCTGCTGGGAATGGAATCAAGGTGGATTTAGCTGGCTTCTCTGCTAATGTGGTCTTAATGTGATCAAAACCTCACAACTTCTGAGAGAATCAAAGACAACATTTTACTTGTTTATTCTGATTTGATTCTTTTAATTACTGCTCCATGTCTCATACATTATATATATTCTGGTGTGTACACATACATCTCAAAGTCTTCTTCAATTGACAAAAAATCTTAAGATCATATCGAACTCATAGTCATGAGTTTGAACTTATTTATTTAATTATTGCTTTGATGTCGGATACATTGTATTTCAAATCAGAGTACACATATATCTCAAAATCTTCTTCGATTGACAAAAATCTTAAGATAAGATATATTGTAACGTTTATCGGTTATTATTATTATTATAACATTAGGATAAGTTATCATAATATTCAGTATTTGATATGTGGTGCAACACTAATAACCTAATAGCTAGACTACCATTATGATTAGGAGTCTAGTTAGGGTTTAGGAGACCTAAAGACATACAACCACAATGATGGGGTTATATAAGGTCATTAGTCCTCTCACTGCTCACATTACATACCTCATACACCATCTAGAGAGAGCTAAGTAAAGTAAGAGACAAATTACTCGTTATCTCTGCAGTAGTCCGGATCGTTCATCTGCTCCCATGTCGATCTGATAGATTATATTCCATAGTACACATGCATCTCAAAGTCTTCTTCAATTGTCAAAAATCTTAAACTCTGATCAACCCCTTAGTCATAAGTTTGAACCTATATATTTAATTATTACTCCATGTCGATTTGGAACATTATATTCCAGACTACACATACATCTCAAAGTCTTCTTCAATTGATAAAAGTCTTAAGATTATATTTTTTGTCATGAGTTTAAACCAATTTATTTAGGAGTGTTATAATTTATTGTATTGAATGTTTTTTTTTTTTGAAAGCCAAAGGGCAATGGCATATATTAATTAATGAGAGAAGCCAAACAGTCAGGGGGACATAGTCCCAGTAAATAGAGTGAAAATAGAGTGATTCTGATCAAAATTTACCGTAGCTTTTGTATTGAATGTACTTTTGAGTAAAATGAATCAATTTTTTTTTTTTGTGGGTTCAAAATGCTGAGTGCATTAATATTACAATTACAAACTCTCGAAACTCATAGGATTTATAGTTTAATTTATAGAATTTTTGGAATTATAAGCTAATTTTCTATCCATAATTTTTTTTTTTTTTTTGGGTAAAACTTCTTATTCAATTAAGGGACCAAATGACAACCCAATCACATGAGGTGTTGGCTTTTTCTTGATAAATGAAATGGACTATTTTTCTTCCAATTTTATTGTACGTCAGATTGATATATACATACAACACACGTATATAGGGAGAGACAAAAAAAATGAAAAATAAGCTAGGATTTTACTTGTAAGAAAATCACAAAAAGTTTATGCACAGTTAATGTTCCTCTAAAATCTTTTTCATCATAACAATCAAAATATTTACTTTAATTTTTTTTTTTTTAAAAGGAGACATTTTTTTATGTGGGTTGGGAGGGGGTGGGGGGTGGTGGGGGGGGGGGGGGGGGTGAGCTAGGACGAATCAAAGGAAATGATAGTCCTTACACATATACAGAGTAATAAATAATCAAAGTGGTCTCACATTTCCTAGATTTCCCCAAATTAAAGAGGTTTATATATAATTGTAATTCAATAGTCAACAACCTAATTCAATTCTACTTCAAATCATACCTAAGGCCAGTACATATAATTACATACAATCATGCAAGCTACCAAAACTACTTGACCAGAAAGACAAATAGACAATGTCATCAAAAAAAGAATCCTAACTCCGAGTTTATTCCCACATAATTAAATTTTTCAGTTAATTGTTTTAAGAAAAAAAAATATTATCTTTAGTACATCCCTCTAGCTAGAGGTGAAGAGAAATTGAATCTATCACTTTCACGGTTTCACCAACAACCTATATAGTTCAAGTGAGAGTAACTTAGTTCGTTCCTAGTAAGTAAGACAATAAACCGTTGGGATCAAGGAACTTCCCTGTTGGCATCTGATCGATTACGGTTAAGTAAGTAGCATGAGGTTTTTTTTTTTTTTTTTTTTGAGTGTACCCAGGGTTTTCATCGTCGAATACAATGACTAATCTCCTCGCTGAAGTTGACCTAGAAATTTAAGGCTGCTCTATACCCAAAGTCAAGAATCGAACCCTTGACCTTTAATTTGGTTAAGGATGGATAGTCACTTCCATTCAACCACACCCCAGGTTTAGCAGCATGAGATTAATGTTGGAAGCTAAGGTTGTAATAAAAACAAGCTAGTTGGCATATATAGGTAGATGGGGGATGGAATGAGTACAATGAAAGGAAGACAAGAGAAAAATCAAATTAAAGATGAGTGGAGGGTGTGGTGGTGATGAGAGGAGTGACCTCTCTGGCTCTGGCTCTGGGTGAGAAAGCAAAGGCCAACCCAATCTCTGCTGCAATAGGGGTCCATCCCTATACGTACTACTATACACACTTGGTTTTAGTCAACATACACATTCAATAATAATTTGGACATTTACTCACTCTATTTATTACTTAAATTAATATAAGATATATAATTTTCAAGAATGTATATATCAAACAAAATAAAATTAAAATTATTCAATCTATTGTCATAGCTAGCCACCATGTGGTCCTCTATGTCTTGGCCTCACCAGACACTCCTTTCATGTGAGAATTGGCCTCCAATTTCAAGAGTGATACAGTTGCTCGTTAGTGTTTCAAATTGGTTTTGGAGCCAAGTGATTTGACAGGCGTGTTGCGCATTATATTCTAGTACACTCCATGTAAAAAGTGAAGACTGATCCGATCTATTCATCTGAGTAGATCAACAGTTTGTTGAGCATATAACCATTAATATGCAATTTAACTGTCAGATTAGGCTTTTAGTTGAGATGGAGCACATGCTTCAATTTGGTATCAGAGCCAGACTAAAGGTCATGTGTTCAAATCTATACGTCACCCGAAAAGCAGGCTTGAAAGTGAAAAATATAGAAAAAACTGATGAAGAAATTTGTGGATGGAGGAGCAAGATTGAAGGGCGGTGTTGAAGAGATCAAAAATGGCACACCCATCCGATCCCTTAAGCCATCCCATGCTGTTTGGCTGGTTGGCAAGGACTCATCTTAGTCCCACCCTTCGCCCACATGCACCTTTGCTTTATTCTCTCCTTATTATTGCCTTTTCACATGCCCTTTTCCATATCTCTTTTTAACTTTCATTGCTTCTTGCTCTTTCCAATTTCTTTTTTCCTTTCTTTCAATTGTAAATCAAACAAGATCATCATATTAATCATAATTATGATGTTATTAAGTAAAGATTTAAAGTGAAACAACACACACATCAAACTTGTTTCTTACTTCATTAACATTTCTAAATCTAAAATTGGATCTTGTTTCCTCTTTTTGCTTGCAAATACTATTTGCTTTTGTACTATTTTTGTGAAAATGAAAATTATTCTTAAAACCATCTATAGGTATAGTTTTGGTTTTAATACAAAGGAGAATAACAAATGGTATGTAGAAACAACTATATAAAATGATACTACAACACACTCATACTATTTGTTTTGCATTATATATTTTGTACGTGAAAAAAAAAATTAAAACCATTTATATATAGGTTTTGTTCTTTAATACAAAGGAGAAAACAAATGCCTCCCTTGTGGTCGATGTGCACTGGATAAAGTCTGCTTGTGAACCTAACAGCAAAGAACCACAAGGAAATAAATCACCTTAGGTTGTTCATAACTGACCGACTCAATTATATTCAAGAAACTTAATAAATAGTTCCCACCAGGAGTTCACTTGAAATCTTGTAATAACAAATAAATCTAATTGTCTAACCACCTTAATTGATGTGTTCTTATAATGAAAACTTTTTTTTATTATTTTTATTAAAGTACTGAGACCAGGCGAATCAACACTAACCAACTACACCACCACCCCACAAAACTTTTCTTATTAGTTACACTAGTATACATAAATTGTGTGAATCAATATTGAATATTGTGCTAAGCATATAAATTATTTCTTTTATGATGTGTAATTATGATACAACAATAAATTTAAGTATTATAAGATTGTAATCATTGTAAATATAAGTGTAGCATAAGTTTATATATGCAAATATACAAATTTTGTTTTTGGCACCATGTTATGCAATACACAACATTAGAATATAATTTTCATGAAAATTAAAGTGGGCAATCAAAGAGCAATTAGTGGCACTATATTAAGATGCAACAATGACACAATATATAGTGGGTCATACACTTATACATACCAACCATCACTATACCTATAGGCTATATGGCATGCAATAGCCCCTGCCTAACCCCCCCCCCCCCCCCCCCCCCCCCCCCCTTCTATTCCTCTCTTTACACACCACACAAACACACACACATGCATCTATAATAATAATATTTCTTTCATTCATATATCTATATAGTTTTCTTTAATATCACTTGCTTTGATTTCTAGTAAT